TCTACCTAGCGGCGCTGGCACACCGGGTTCTAGTCCTCATCGGGGCGCCGGATTCTGTCCCGGTTGCCCCTCTTCCAGGGGCCAGCTCTCTGCTATGGCCCGGGAGTGTAGTGGAGGATGGCCCAAGTGCTTGGACTCTGCACCCCATGGGAGACCAGGAGAAGCACCTGGCTCCTGCCTTCGGATTAGCGCGATGCGCCGGCCGCAGTGCGCCAGCCGCGACGGCCATTGTTGGGTGAACCAACGGCAAAAAGACCTTTCTCTGTCTCTCTCTCTCTATCTACCCTGCCTGTAAAAAAAAAAAAAAAAGTTTTCTATAATGTGCTTTCTCTACTTCTTTTAAAAATTTATTCAAGAGTCAGAGAGAAAGAGACAGAGTTCCCATCTACTGGTTCACTCTCCAAATGCCCAGGACTGGGCCAGGCTGAAGCCAGGAGCTAGGAACTCCATCCAGGTCCCCCGTGGTACAAGGAACATGTGTGACCTGAGCCATCAAGCAGGAAACGAACTGGAGCCAGCGCTGGAACCCAGACACTATCGTATGAGATGTGGTGTCTCAACCAGCAGGCCACTGCCCATCCTTTTTCTTCTTAATTTTTTTCTTTATTTGAAAGGCAGAGAGAGAGAATCTACCCAGTGGTTTACTCCCCAAATGGTAGCAATAGCTGGGCCAGGCCAAAGCCAGGAGCCTGGAACTCCATCCAGGTCTCCCACGTGAGCGCAAAGGCCCAAGCACTTGGGCCATCTTCCACTGCTTTCCTGGGTGCATTAGCAGGAAACTGGATCAGAAGTGGAGCAGCCTGGACTGGAACCAGCGTCCACACAGGATGCTGGTGTCACAAGTGGCAGCTTAACCAGCTGCGCCACAACGCCAGCCCCCTTATATGTACTGTTTGTGTAACCACAGCAAATACACCTTTCTCTCCCTTTCCGTATTCTGATGCAGAAAACTAACAACTGAGCCTGTGACTAGAGTGCCCACTCAAACATAAATCACACTTGCTTCCGAGTTCCAGAATCGCTCTGAGAAGATCAGCAGTAGCTGCAGAGTGATCTGGCCTCCCTGTCAGCATGACCTAAGGCTTAAATTTATTGCAACAAAATGCAAAGTGGTGCAAGTAACTAAGACACAGCAGGCTGGGACTGAGGACTGAGGGGGCTTCATCCGTATTAACGAAACAAAGGAATCTCAGCACAGTACTCTGCCTCTTTCAGATCTCAAATAACAATGACTTCGTTATGCAGAATATCTGATACCCCCTCCTTCAGCAAGTTTCTCAAGGAACCACATTCTCTTCCTGTTTTCAGACCCTCGACCAGCAGCCTCATCTCCCTTTCCTGCTCCTTGACCGCCCTAGACTGCCCTCACGTACAGGATCAAGTCTTGAGGCCCCTGGCCTGCGGGGGTCCTCAGCTATCAGTAGATGAAACTTCCTCTTGGGACCAGCGCTGTGGCAGAGCAGGTTAAAGCCACAGCCAGCTGCACCAGCATCCCTTATGGGTGCAGATTCGTGTCCTGACTGCTCCACTTCTGATCCAGCTTCCTGCTAATGCACCTGGGAAAGCAAAGGAGGATGGCTCAGATGCTTGGGTCCCTGCGACCCTTGTGGGAGACCCAGATGGAGCCTCCAGCTGCCAGCTTCAGCCTGGCCCAGCCCAGGCCATTGAGGCTGTCTGGGGAGTGAACCAGTAGATGGAAGATCTGTCTCTCCCTCTCTCTTTCAAATAAATAAATAAACCTCTTAAAAAAATGTTTCTTTAATCCTCAAAATTCATTCTTGTTATTGTATTTTTGTTTTTAATTTATAATTTAATTTATTCATTTTTAGATTTTAGTTTCATTTATTTGAAAGGCAGAGTTACAAAGAGGAGAAGCAGAGAAAGGGAGGTGTCTTCCATCCACTGGTTCACTCCCCAAATGGCTGCAATGACAGGAGGTAGGCCTATCCAAAGCCAGGAACCAGGAACTTCTTTCAGGTCTCCCATGTGTATTCAGGGGCCCAAGGACTTGGGCCATCTTCTACTGCCTTCCCAGGCCACAGCAGAGAGCTGGATGGGAAGTGGAGCAGCCAGGACTTGAACCAGCGCCCACATGGGATGCCAGCACTGCAGGTGGTGGCTTTACTGGCTAGACCACAGTGCCAGCCCCCCATTCTCGTTATTCTAATTCAGCACCACTGACAAGGACCAGATTTCTGGTAACACGCGTACACTCTGTTGATAAGGTGCAGTGCATTGTCTCAATGCAGAGAAACACATAAATCAATCACATCAGGCAATCAGCCTGTTTTTACAGCTCTTGTGTTTGGCGCCTACCGGCTCTGCTACCAGTTCTCTATGCAGAATACAATACTTGACTGTGACCTGGAGTCACCCCAGTGCCCTGCAGAACACCAGAACCTGCAGTCTTCACCCGACTGTGTCCTGGTTCCCTTAGCCAAGCTTCCCCCACCCCTACCCGGCACTTTCCAGCCTCTAGTTATCACTATGTTAGGTTCAGGTTAATCATTAAAGAAAACTGCACATACGAAAGCTTGCCTTAGCTAACGTAATCTCAAGTTCCATTCGTTCTACTGCAAATGTCAGGATTTCACTCTGTTTTTAACGGCTGAATACCATTCCACTGTGTCCATCCATCCAGGTTGTACACCTAGGTTGATTCTCAGTCCTGGCTATGGTGAACTATCACTTAGATCTCAAGAAACAGTTTAGCAATGGGGAACTCAAGGCCAATTTTAATTTTCTTCTAAGATGTTATTTTTATTTCAAAGACAGAGTGACAAAGAGGCAGGGAGACAGAGAGAGAGATGGATCCACTCTCTGGTTCACTGAAATACCCTCAACAACCAAGGCTAGAACAGGCTAAAACCAGGAGCCAGGAACTCCATCTGGGTCTCCCACATGGGTGGCAGGACCCCAAGTACTTGGGTCAAGGCCAATTTTTAGATGAAAATCTAAAACCAGAGACACAAGCAGAATGTCAGAGGCCGCTGAAACAACACATGCCTTGAGAAATGTGCCAATGGCCTCCATGTGGACTCTGGTTCAGCCCTGTGTGGGGCGAGAGATGGCAGCAGGACCCACCCATGTTTATAGGAAGTGCTTTCCACATTAGGCGGCAATGCCAAAGGACTCCAACCCCAGGGAAGCATGGGTAGACTAAACCACTCCCCCCAGCCAACCCCAGGGAAGAATGCATGGACTAAACCACTCCTCCCGCCCCAGGGAGACTATAACAGGCTACTCCAGGCCTCAGCAGAGTGAGAGGCCAAGGAAGACAACCCCAGGGACCAGCCTCACCCAGGTCCATAGAGCCTGGCTTGGCTCTGACTACGGTGCCCCGAGGGACCTGGAGAAACCTCCCTGATGCTTGGCATTGGGAAATCCCACTAGTCACTGCTCAGGGAAGATGAACAGAAGTCGTCAAGGTGACCAGCGTGCACCACAGGAAACCTGCAGAACTGGACCCGGGCAGGCTTCCGGCTCTGGTGACATCCGACACAGCTTTCACGACCACCCAGCTCCCATCTTAAAGACACCCTTTGGAGCCTTGTGTGAGGCGGCACCAATCTGCACCCCTTTTCCTTACAATACCACGTCTCACAGCAGAGTGCCTGAGTTTGAGTCCTGCTCTGCTTCCAATTCCAGCTTCGTGCTCATGCACACCCTGGGAGGAAGCAGGTGATGGTGCAAGTAGTTGGGTCCCTGCCCCCTGCCACACACACACACACACACACACACACACACACACGAGACCAGAACTAAATTCCTGGCTGCTGGCTTCGGCCTGGTCCACTCCCGGTCATAGCTGCCATTTGGGGAGTGAAGCAGCAGATCAAAGATCTCTGTCTTTCCCTCTCTCTCTGATGCTCTTTCAAATAAATAACTTTTTAAGAAAAAGAATGAGTGAAATAGAGCTGTCAGACAACAGAACCAGAGTGTGTCTAGAAGCGACTCTGAAAGTTAACACTAAGGCGATCCAACATGGAAGGTCTGGAACGTGAGATCAGGGGAGCAGAGAGCCAGCAGGGAGCAGGAGGTCGGGCACAGACAAACCCAGGACAGCGACAGCAGCCACAGTGCCTAGGGAAGTTCTAATTAAGCTTAAGATGCGAGGGCATTTCAAAAAGATCACAAAAAAGTGAAATTAAAAATTTATGTTGGGGCCGGCGCTGTGGCATAGCGGGTAAAGCCATTGCCTGCAGTGCTGGCATCCCATATGGGCGCCGGTTCAAGTCCCAGCTGCTCCACTTCTGATCTAACTCTCTGCTATGGCCTGGGAAAGCAGAAGATGAAGACCCAAGCACCTAAGGCCCCTGCACCTGCGTGGGAGACCCTGAGGAAGCTCCTGGCTCCAGATCGGCGCAGCTCCAGCCATTGCGGCCAATTGGGAGTGAACCAGAGGATGAAAGACCTCTCTCTCTCTCTCTTTCTCTCTGCCTCTCCTTCTCTGTGTAACTCTGACTTTCAAGTAAAATAAATAAATCTTTTAAAAAAAAAAGCTTATGTTGGCACAAAAATATTCAAAATCCAAGCATATTTGTTTCATAATACACATTTTCCCATTAGTTTTTGAGAACTCATATAGGGAATGAGGGGTCAGGAGGGGCATAAGTGAAGAGAAGCCCCTCCATTACCCAGAAAGAAGGCAAAACATTTATTAACTTCAAGCTCTGGTCAGTTACCCATGAGTGTTGCAATGTGTGGAGGAAGAGGGTGCACAAAATAGTGGGAAAATATGGAAAAAAATTTTTGAATTGTTTAAAAGAGGGAAGGAAGGAGAGAAAAATAAGACAAAGACAAGATAGCACAAAACAGGTGGTAGATTTAAATCCAGATAAATCGGAAATTAAACTAGCACGGGCAGTTAGATTTAAAGGACAACACAGATGCCATGACTGGCTTTGAACAGCAGCACCCCCAAGCCACTAGCCCCTCCCCCGAGGCAAACAGGAAGTGACCTTCTCCTGCTGATGTAAGCTGCCCATTGTGACCGGCCCTGACATCACACAGCGTGTCTCTGCCAGTCCAGGCCGGGGGTGGGTGCCTATCTCCTTCACCTCCCTGTGCAGCTGAGATGGTGTTCTGGCCCTTACACCTGCTCCATAGAGTTCTTCTGTGTCAAGTGCCATTGGCTAGCTCTGGTCTCTGCCTAGCTGCTTCCGACAACCCCCGGTGCCTCTCCTAACCTGCCACTCGTGGTCCAGAGCGTTGCCTACAAAGTTCCAAGGGCCAACAGCGGCAGAGGACGACTCCATCCTTCTCACAGGAGGACTCTTCCTCGGGGGACACTTCTCTTAGACTCTGGGCAGTGAAGACACTGTGCTTTGAGAACAATTCCTCATGGAGCCAGAAGCCTTAGAAATTTGCCCTTACGATCCGCACCACCGGATTCCCCTCAGCAGATTCCAGTACCACCTGGCATCATGCAGGAGAAAGAACCCCAAAAAAGCCAAAAAGATGGCCAGCTGCAAATACAACGCCTGCCACGTGGTCCCCATCAGAAAGCTGGAGGAGCACGAGGCTTCCTGCATCAACAGAAGCTCCCTGGAAGAAGACGACAGCTTGAGCCCTCTGAAAGGTGGTCTCCCAGGCCCACAGCAGGAAGACGACCCCCTGCAGGTCTCCCCCTGGCTTTCCAACTCTGACATCTGGAATGTCGACGGCGCTAACTGCCACCCGATGTTTGTCCTGAAGACTTTTGTCCCACAAAAGCTGGTTTGTGAAAGTGACGCGAGAGAGTCAGAGAAAGAGACCAACCCCCAGAAGATCCTCAGACCAGGACAGTAAGGTGCCCGGGAAGGAAGAATCACGCACCTGCCACATGCATGAGCGATGATATGCAACTCATTGGAATAAAGGGCATGCAAAGTGCTCCACCCTGGAGATCTTTTCTTTGGTCATCTAGCATATTGGTAAAGAGCCAAAGGCTTCAAAATATTCTGCAGGCAGAGGTGGGGTGAAATGGGCCCTGGGAGAGCAGGGGCAGGATGGAAGGTGACGCCCCCTCCTTGGGGGCAGTCCCGTGACAGCTGTGAAGTGATCCATGCACCTAGTGTTGGACTGGGTGAGTCCACTCCTAGGATTTTGTCTTGTAAATACGACGGGGCTTCACAAAGTTCAGGGAAAATGTGTATTAGGGAAAAACTACGCCTGGATTTCAAAAACCTTTTGCTCCAAAACAAGCTTATCTTTTAATTCCATTTTCCATGAGCTTTCGGGAGCACTGTCACGCCTCCACACACGCGGAAAGCGAGCAGGTACGGGGGACTCACTGCAACGCTGTCAGCGGATCAGAAAAGCTCAGTCAGGAGGGTCCGGGGTGGCCACACCATGACATCGGGCACGACCCGCTGTCCGCACGGCCCTGGCAAGGCTCAGGCCTACTGCTTAACTCGGAGGTCAGCACACGTTTTCGGTAAAGGGCCAGAGAGCAAACATTTTAGGGTTTGCCACCCACCTGGTATCAGAGGCAACTACTGGGCCCCGCCATAGCAGCCACAGGTAGCAGGCAAACCAACGAAGGCAGGGCTGGGTGTGGCTTAAGATAGCAGCCATGTCTGGAGCAGTCTGCCCGCTCAGCCACCGTTTCTGTGGAGCTGTGGGCAACACTTGTGCTTGCCTGGACTTTTTCTCCAAGCACACATCAGAAGAGGAGTCTAAAACGTTTGCCATGGGCTCCCCTTACAGAGGGCTCCCCTTACCTCCTCACCAGGAACTGACAGCGGCCATCCCCAGGAAGACAGTGAGTTCACAGCAGGACTGGGCAAAGAGACCCCTCCTGTCTGTACATCCTCTAGCACCTTTGGTGTGTGAATACATGGGAAAGGGTTATCTGGCAGAAAACTAAAATACATTATTTATTTATGTACGTGTTTAAATACACAGAAAGAGACATCTCCCAATCCTCTGGTTCACTCCCAAATCCCATAACAGCCAAGGCTGAGCCGGGCCAAAGCAGGAGCTGGGAACTCAGTCCATGTCCCCAGCAAGGGTGGCAGGGACCCAACCACTTGAACTCTCACTGCTGCCACCCAGCGTCTGCACTGGCAGGAACCCAGGGACTCTAACGTCACTGGGCCAAATGCTCACCCCTCAAATATGTATTTTTAAAAAATGGAAGGTAGGAGCTGGCTGGCGCTGTGACGTAGCAGGTTAAGCCACTGCCTACAGTGCTGGCATCCCATATGAGCGCTGGTTCAAGTCCCAGCTGCTCCACTTCCAATCCTGCTCTCTGCTATGGCCTGGGAAAGCAACAGAAGATGGCCCAAGTGCTTGGGCCCCTGCACCCAGGTGGGAGACCCAGAAGAAGCTTCTGGCTCCTGGCTTCTTCGGATTGGTGCAGCTCCAATCGATGTGGCCATCTGAGGAGTGAACCAGCAGATGGAAGACCCCTCCCTCTCTCTCTCTCCCTCTCTCTCTCTGTTTGCCTCTCTGTAACTCTGCCTTTCAAATAAATAAATCTTAAAAAAAAAAAAAAAGAAAGAAAGAAAGAAGAAGGTAGAAGCCTGAAGTCTGACGGAGTCTTTTCATAAGGAAATCCTAGCCGCTATGTCCCTAAGTCGTTGTAACCCACTGCCTTTGATCCCTTGCCCTTGCCCTGTTTCCTCAAAGCATTAAAAGACTCCTTGGGGAAGGAAATTCTTATGAAGGAGTTCTGAGTGTTGGCCTTAGAAACCAGATGACTAATAAATAAACTAGAGAACTGTCACAGAGGCAAAACAAAGGGACGTGCAGGGCATGCTTGTGTGCCTACAACCTACGGGGCCAACAGGAGCAGGACAAGAGAAGTCTGGCTTGAGACGTGAATGAACCAACCAGGTCAGGATGTAACCACCGTCACAGCCAGGTGACGGGCAAATTTACTCTTTTATACAAATCTGCCATCTTGCCGTTCTCTCTGTACATATAGTAAAGGCAATATGGAATTCTGGGAATGGAGAAGACATTCACGGAAGTGGTGAAATCCATACAAATGTTGAGGTGGAGTTAATATTGTACCAATCTGAATCTCAGCTTTGATAAAGGTGCCGTAGTTTTTAAAGATGTTAACATTGTGGGAGACTAGAGGAAGGGCATCTGGGAACGCCTCACTCTATCATTGCAAAACTTCTGAAGTGATTTCAGAATGAGAAATGTGACGCAGAGTGAAAGGCATCATGATGGAGACAAGAATGGACTCTGGACCGTCCTGTGCGGGGCGGAATCCCCACCTGACCACCTGTCGGCTCCCAGACGTCTCTGCCGGTTTCTTCACCCACAAGCAGGGGTGACACATCCACAAACACACGTAGGACTCCTAGGGAAACCTCAGCCAAAGCTCCCTGCTGCTGTGACAGCGGTCTTACTCAGCAAGAACACGTAAAGGAGTAAGAGATAATGACAAGCAAGCAAGTTTAGAAAACAGGTAAATAACCAATGAGATAATCAATTCTGCATTTAAAATAATAAAAGGTTGGAGAAGGCTTTGCTCAGAATAGAACACTGAGCAAATATGTCTACTAAAACACTATAGTCTCTAAAATAAAGTGTTTTACGTTTTCCAAACCAGGCAAGAAGAGAAAAGAGACCAGGAGATGACAGAAAACTTTATAAATTCAACCAAAAAAGAATAATAAAAACAGAATTAAATAGTATAAGTCAATCCAAAATACATCCACAATTCATATTAATGTAAAAATATTTCACTTGGGATCGTTTAAACTTCTACCTGCAGCACCAGCATCCCATATGGGCGCCATTTTGAGTCCTGACTGCTCTACTTCCAATTCAGCTCCTTGCTGATGGCCTGGGAAAGCAGTGGAAGATGACCCCAGTACTTGGGCCCCTGCACCTGCGTGGGAGAACCAGAAGAAGCTCCTGGCTCCTGGCTTTGGATCAGTGCAGCTCCGGCCGTTGCAACCATTCAGGAGTGAACCAGTGGATGGAAGACCTCTCTCTGTTTCTCCCTTTCTCTGTAACCCTGCCTCTCAAACAAATAAAACCTTAAAAAGAAAAAAAAAAGCTAAAGAAAAATTTTTAAAAAAGTATCTTATGTCCCTAAATAAAATACACATTCATTCCAACTATAGAAGCAGAGATAGTAAACAGCTAACATGAGTGCCATGTAACAGACATAACTAATCAACCTGACACTCTGAGCTGGGACAACACCTTCAGAATCCTTGGCACAATGCTGCACCTGCCAGTACACCCTGATGGAAGTCAGCTGTGTCTTACAGAGCCCACTGTGGGCAAGGCTTCCTGTTCACACAGAGCGCCTCCAGGTGTTGTTTCCAGAACAGGACATAAAACTCCTGTCTGGAGAGCCGGGGACGTGTGTGCTACACTCCTGGGACATCAGCGGCTGTTCTCTCCCCTTCCTTCTTTCTGGCCTGTGTGCAGGAAAACGATCATAAAAAATCCCAGCAGTAACGGTGACCACAGCAAGCAAGTGCTGAGGTCCCCCCCGGAGCTGGACCACAAGGGGAGCTGGCCCAGGCTGGGGGAGCGGCAGCGGGCGAGGCGTCCCAGTTCATGCTGAGAGGGAGCCGGGGAAGGGGAGGAAGGCAGGGGAGAAGGTGCGGAATCTGTGCTTTCATCAAAGAATGGTGCAGGAGGGCTGGAGCCGCAGCCTGGCCACGCCGCTGATGGGCCAACGTTCTACGTCCCGCACACAGGCACGAGAAGTGAGCCTCAGCGGCTGGCCTGTGTCCCCCATCAGAGTGCCTGGATTTGATCCCAGCTCCCGCTCCCAGGTCCAGTTTCCTGCTAATGCAGACCCTGGGAGGCAGCAGGCATGGCTTATGTAAGTGGGCTCCCGACACCCACATGGGAGACCAGCCTTTGGGGCTCTCTGGAGAGCCCAGCAGATGGGATCTCTCTGTCTCTGCTTCTCAAGTAGTTTTTTTTTTTTTTAACTCAAAAAGGTGAAATCATAAAAGAAACAAAGACTCAGAAGCTAAGTAGCTTGCCACCGTCACAGAGCTGTTAAGGAGCAAGTGGCCGCGCCGCTCAGGTTGAACGCATCCCCAGAAGTCTGCTTCCAGATCTGTGCAGCCCAGAAATGCACACACGAGTTCACCCACGTAGGAGGCTGACACGTTCACATCGGCAGACCAGACACAGTCCACACGTCCTTAGCATGGGCAAATCAGGGAAGTCACACTATGCGATCCTAGGCAACGCTGAGAAAAGATTCTAAATGCTCTCACCACACATACACACAAATGATTCGCATGAGGTGACAGATGTGAGCTCATTTAAATTATTCTACCATGCATGCATAAAGCATCACTTCATGGCCCATAAATATAGAAAACGGTTATTCGTCAGTTAAAATCAAGTGGACAGTTGTGCAAATGACCAACTAGCACTACTCAGATCACTCCAGGTGAAGCTCACGTAAAGTGAAGTCCGCTTACACCCGCACCCATGGGGTCTGAAGTCAGGGTGCGGTGCCCACGGCAGGTGCTGGATTCAGGCCATGGTGTGCCCTGGAAATTCCTCCAGCTGCATGCACGGGACGCTGTCTGCACACTGCACACCCACAGCAAGTTCACACAAGCAAACCTCGATCTCACGCTTTCCACCTGCCCCTCACGCCTTCCCTGGCTGGTAACCAGGGCACAATGACACGGAACAGGGCACAGTAAAGCGTTGGCCTCCAAGCCCAGGACAGGGATCCAGTGCTGACCTGAAGCACTCCACTGAAAATGGACGCTCCCTCTCCTCTGCAGGACCTCCCGTGCAGAAGGAAGGGCTGGGACAGTTTCTTGCAGAACATAATAAAAGGCCCCTGTTTGGTCTCAGTGTTCTCGCCCACCCCTTCCACAGCTCTGAAAGCTGCAGGAGCCTCCCCCACTCCATTGCGGAGGGCCCAGGGCTCCTTGGTGATATC